TACACATATATACACATATATACACATATATACACATATATATACACATATATACACATATATATACATATATATACCGATCCACCAACATTAGCCTCCGAAGAGGGAGACGTGCAGTCCTCTGCCTTCGTCACTTCCGGTTAGCGAAACTTTTCCGGTAGTACGAATCGCTACCCACTTACTTAAGCAGGTGTTATCACTTAAGAGAATCTCCGGGTCAGCCAAATTCTACCGTTCGTTGCTTCATTCTCCATATATATATAGGCATTCTTTTGAGAACTCAAGAAATTGTGATAACCTCGAGAAGTTGTGGATCATGTGTTATTTCATATGTTTTATTTTCATTTAAAACTAGGATTTAAAATACTGATTAATATATATATTTGTTTCACATGTACTTGGTTCATAATATGAATCTTTTTGGCATGTTTATGAAACATAAAATACTAGTAAAAAAGTTTCACATTGTAAAATGAATACATATTAAACAAACACATTGTGAAACAAATATATATTAATAAATACATTAAATACTAGCGTAGACTAAAAAATTCATATAAAATAACACAAGATAATTAGTTCTCAAAGTTATCATAATTTCACAGGTTATCAAATGATTAAGCCCCTCTATATATACTAGTTGGTTACCCACAATACAACGACCACGTAAGATACTAGGGCTCGATGGACCATTTTATCATTTGGTCTACCTATAGATGGTAGAGTTGATTTATTTCTTAGCACAATTTAACTACACAATTACACCATTTCTAATATTATATATATATATATATATATATATATATATATATATATAAGGAAAAAAAACACATTCAATGATGTGCAGATTGGCAGATCCTTAGGATAGTATTTTTCATACAGATTTTTTTGGAATATTTTTGATTTTTAAAAAGCTTTTATTTGTCAAAGACTTCTTTATCCTTTATAAAAAATGTATGTTTTACCATGAATGAGGGTTCTTTTGTAAAATTACATCCATCTTACGTTTATAGGRTTAATTAATGTTATAATGGCTAACCTATCTGTTGGTCCCAGCCGGGTCTACAAGAGTTTTAGACGAACAGTTTGTAGAGGAGAGGAGGGGGGATGAATACAAACACAAAAAACTTTCGTATTTAAAAATATATATTGATAGAGAAAAATCAATAAAGATTTTTTTGCAGTTTGTTTGGGGAAATAGAAAAGGTAAAGATAACCTATCTAAAACAATCTACGTTTACACACAGATACACTTAGCAAAATAGAAAAGATTTACTAGAAAGATAAAGACAAGAGGATGTTCTTCTTGGGTAAGAACTTTAGAATACTTGAGAGGGATTCTAACTTGCTTGAAGATAAGCGTATGTGTTCTTTARATAGAAGAGAAATCTTTGTGTATGCGTATGMGTTGGTGTTTTGCATGGAGAGAGCACTCAGCTATTTATACCCGTTGCATTAAATGCAAATCATAAGGTTTTGAACACGCATCAAGCTTTAGGAGGAAAACTTGTCATTTGCTACACTGAATAGTACAATTGTCTATTCATGAGCAAACATCCTTTAGTGGAGTTAGTGGGCACTAGAGTCGACTAGTCGACTCCGTACTGTACTATACTCTAGAAAGGGTATGGGTTTGTCCTTTGTNAGATACACTTAGCAAAATAGAAAAGATTTACTAGAAAGATAAAGACAAGAGGATGTTCTTCTTGGGTAAGAACTTTAGAATACTTGAGAGGGATTCTAACTTGCTTGAAGATAAGCGTATGTGTTCTTTARATAGAAGAGAAATCTTTGTGTATGCGTATGMGTTGGTGTTTTGCATGGAGAGAGCACTCAGCTATTTATACCCGTTGCATTAAATGCAAATCATAAGGTTTTGAACACGCATCAAGCTTTAGGAGGAAAACTTGTCATTTGCTACACTGAATAGTACAATTGTCTATTCATGAGCAAACATCCTTTAGTGGAGTTAGTGGGCACTAGAGTCGACTAGTCGACTCCGTACTGTACTATACTCTAGAAAGGGTATGGGTTTGTCCTTTGTGTGTGGAAGGACAAGACAAAAACAATCTTGCACAATAAGCTTCATTTGATCGCTGAATGCTGGAATGACACTAAAGGTCTCTTCCGTATTCAGTGAGGCTTGAGCAGTCTTCACAACTATGCTGACCAGGTTGTAATCAATGAATACCGCTTCAGATCACGAATGCACTTAGTCACTAATCTTCAGTTTCAGTCTTCGACATTCACTGAAGATTATTTGGTGTGAGTTTTGTCTTYTTGAAGTAAAACTGTTGCTGTAGGATTCACGATGCATGTTTCAGCGATCACTGAACAGACTCAGTGATGATCGCTGTGATCGCTGGAACTGAAAAAACAGAAACATTGATMCTTCGAAAGATAAAAGTGATAATAATCAAATCAATGAGAGAGAGGATCAACAATCTTCACATATTTGATGATGACAAAGCAACATAAAGAAAATTGCCTTAAATAATAATAGTAAGGAAAAGTTACATATAAAGTACATGTCCCTTTTAACTATTTTGGGATCTTTTTCAGTGAATMAGTTTTTACTTTATAAGTTTAATTGAGTTACAAGTTTAACAAAAAAGTATGAGAYGGGAAACTGAAACTGAAAGCATGTTCACTGACTAGAGATTGTTAGTGACTGTAAGAGTATACCGGAACTCATAGACATGTGTCCCTATTACTCTTTTCAAGGATCTTTTTCAGTGATGCTGATGAAATAGTTATATTAATTCAAAGGAAAATTACAAGTGTTTCAGTTAGTACTGTAACAA